AAGATGCAACAGACTGTGAATTCCATCATTTTATTACTGTGCTATGTCTCTCTCATAAGGCAAACCTACAGGTTAGTATTCAATTGGGTTAGAGGTCAGGAAAAACTGAGACAAAACAGTGTCTTGTGGACATGACAGGAGCACTGCACTCACGCAATCACAGCAGCTGGGGTTGCCTGCATATGATCTGAACAATAAAGTCAGTCAACATTCTAGCATGGAGTGGGAAGTGTCATGAGCTCCCACTCCTGAGGAGCTGTGGTCACTACATGGCTTCTGGGGAGGGAGAGTCAGTTTTCAACCCCACGTCAGTGGATGGCCTCACACCCACAAGTTATAGGCAGCACAAATTGGAGTCAGTGGGCAATTAAAAATAAAGAAAATATTAGAAAGAGAGCATGAAATTGGGGCTGAAAGGGGATGAGTGGGTATTTTTTTTAAAAAAGTCTTAATATTTTCCTAAGTTTGGTACTTAATCTTCTTATAGATATATTCAAAAGCTATCAATAATATGCCACAATTTTGATGAGTGCAAACCTAGGTGTATTAGAGCAGAAATGAGTGTCTTTATGAGTGATACTGAAACTTTGCGATTCCTTATTGCTTAGAGTTTTTCAATTGCTTCAATATATACCACCATGAATACATCAACCAAAAAGTATTTTTCCTGTCAATATGGCATGACCCAGTGAAAATAGCAACACTAACTCATGCTTGCTACACTGTATTTAAAAGCAGGCCAATATACCAAAAGTTTTACAAATACAATGTGGAGGTAAGTAGCTATTACAGGAAAATATCAATCACATCTAGATTGCTCAAATAGACTGATAGCAGTTCATTCTCCACTTCTGCATGCCTTCAAAATATACGAACCTACTATTTAAATTAAGGTCACTCTGAGCTACAAAGACCTGACTCAAAACAAGAGAAATGGGAGCTGGGAAGATATCTCAGCCAGTAAGGTGCTTGTCACACAAGCATGAGCATCTGATTTCAACTCTCAGTTACTACAATTGTGATCCCAGGACCAGGGGAGCAGAAACGGAGGACTGCTGAGACTTGCTCACCAGCCAGTCTGTCTAACCAGGTAAGCAAGGCTCCGGTCCCAGTAAAAATCCAGTTGCAAAAAAACAAAGTGGCCAGCTCCTGGGAAATGGCAGCTGAGGGCCACCTGTCTCCTCCTATACTTACTTAATATGTAAGAGACAGACATTTTTTAAGGGCAGCTCCAGCACTGAACCACAAATCTTATCTCACTGTCTAAATCTCAGTTTGCTTTCTATTGCTGTGATAAGACAGCAAATTGGGAAGGGACGTATATTTCAGCTTAAAGCTTACCATCTATCATGAAGGAAAATCAGGGTAAGACTCAACCTGGACACAGGAACAAAAGCAGAGGTCACAAAGAAATGCCACTTACTGGCTTGTTCCTGACTTTTTTTTGTACTACCTAGGACCACCTGCTCAAAGGTGACACCACCCACAGTGGTCTGGACCATCTCACGTCATCAACTAAGAAAATGACTCAAGGATCTCCCTCTTTTCTCATAGAATCCCTCTTCCCAGATGATTAGTCAAGCTGACAAAAAAAAAAAAAACTATTAAGCAAGACTTAGCCAAAAACCCTTGTCAAAAAAAAAAAAGATACACCACCCAGAAAAAAAAAAAACTAAAAAATGTAAAAAGAATTATACTGACACTGACTTAATTTTTATTAAACAAGTCATTTGCAATCTTTTTAATTTTTTAATTTTTTATTTTATTATTCTTTCTGTATGGATGTTTGCCTACAAGTACATCTATTCATGACTCGCATATCTAGAGAAGACCAGAAGCACAGGAGACCAGAAGAGGATGTTGGATCCCCCAGAACTGCTAATGATCCCCTAGAACTAGTAACAAACCATCCTATGGTTGCTGGGAATTGAACCTGGGTCTGCTGGAAAAGGAAATTGTGTTCTTGGACCTCTTAGCCATTTCTCCAGCTCCAGACAGTTGTAATTTTTATGTCTATAGTTTCAGAATTGACAATTCCACAATATTTATATGATACCATTAGAGAAAATTGTTGTATTGCCTAGCATGTAACAGCAGTGTGTAGTATGTAGATGTATGTGGGTATGCATGTGCGTGGATGCCAAAAGTTAATGTGAGATGTTTATTCAGTCACTCATTTTCAGTCACTTATTGTTTGCATGTGTGAACAGAGGAATAACACATGTGTGTGTATACATGTGCAAATGTGAAGGCCAGAGGGAGACATTGGGTATCTTCCTCAATCTTGTTTGTTTTTTAAGACAAGGTCTCTCACTGATTCTGGAGCTCCCTGTTTCACCTGGACTAGCTGATCAACAAGCCCCGGGATCTACCTGTTCCTGTCACAACCACCATCACCCGAGTAGTGGGGCTACAGATGTATACTGCTACATCTGGCTTTTAAGTGGGTTGTGGGATTCAAACCCCAGTCAAACACTTTACCCTCTGAGCCATCTCTCCAGTCCCTCTACCTTTTGGTAGGGATATGGGGGTACAGGGTCTCTTACTGAATTAAGCCTCCCTGGCTGGCCAGAGAACCCCGCAGCGATCCTTCTGCCTCTGCCTCCCAGCACTGGGAATACAGATGTGCTCCCATGTGCCTGTCTTTTACACGAGTGCTGGGGAGATGAACTCAGGTCCTTATGCTTGCACTGCATTTTAACAACTGAGAATTCGCCCTAACCCTGACACCAGCAATTTCTAGTGATTCAAGAATATTTACATGTAATTCACAAAGGATCCCTGCTTTTCCTTTAAAACTGCTTTGAGTTGTAGGGAGTGGGGGGGGGGCATAAGAATTAAAAGAAAGCATATGAACTCCACCCCTTATCTTTGAAGCATTCCTACATAGCACTCTCGAAGGCATTAATAAAGGTTCACTATCAGGTCAATCTTCAGAGATTCTTAAGATCTATGGAGCACAAAGGAAAAGGGAAAAAAAATCTGTGTAAAACAGTAACACCTTGGGAACCCAGCCACCGAAATTATTTACAAAACATTTATAGCAACCCTAGTTTTAACATTAATGCCTCAGGTATTTAATCATAGTGCTGTGTGCTCAATGTTTGTGCCACCCTCCAAATCCAGGCTGAAATCCTAGCTTTCCAAAGTGATGGTGTTAGGTGAATACTCAGGGACGTTATTAAGAGTAAGGGTCTTCACCGGGCGGTGGTGGCGCACGCCTTCAATCCCAGCACTTGGGAGGCAGAGGCAGGCGGATTTCTGAGTTCCAGGCCAGCCTGGTCTACAGAGTGAGTTCCAGGACAGCCAGGGCTATACAGAGAAACCCTGTCTCGAAAAAACAAACAAACAAACAAACAAAAGAGTAAGGGTCTTCATAAATGGGATTGATGCCCCTTTAAAAGAGGTTAAAGGACAACGCCCCTCCATCCTCATGTGACGGTATAAAAGGTATCATCTATAATCAGAAAGCACGTTATCACCAAACACAGAGTAAGTTACCACCTTTATCTTGAACTTCCCCAGCAGAACTGTGAGAAATTAATCACTATTTTTATACTTTCCAGTCTAAGATATTCTGTTATAGCAGCCCAAACAGAATTTTACAAATGCAGCTCAAGGGGATGAAGAAAGAGGAAGAATGGGGCACTTGCTGAAGGTTTATGATGAACTAGAAGTTCTTTGTAGAAACGTTTCTTCTGCTGGTTTTAGGATGTGGGTTGTATCCAAATGAGGGGAACCAAAGGACAAAAGCCACATCACACTTTCCCCATCAACATAATTTCCCACAACATTTTAAAATGGTTCTTGTATTAAAGATATTTGGATGTCAATGGACATTCTCAAGTCATTTTGGTGTGTTCGTTGTAAGTCAATCTGCAAGCATTTTGCAGAAAGTCATGCTTAATAGAAGCATGACTTCTAAAAATATCAATACAAAGCACCAACACAGGACAGGGTGGGATAGTGCTGTGCTTATCGATCTTAAATCAGAAATCTACCACAGCACCAGCAAGTGATCTAACCAGTAATCTCTTTGAGCCCCAGGTTTCCTATTTATTGCTATTCCACAGACAACAATAACGCGACACATGAGAAATACAGTCCAGGAGCAGCAGGAGGCAGCCCAAGGGCTAGTGGGACCTCCTTACAGGGAGCCTCTCCTCCTCAGAGGAAGTCTTTGGGACAGCAGCAGGTGCTGCTTGGGGAGCAATTTTCTGGCTGCTTTCTAAGAAGCCCCAAACTCTCTAGAGTCAGCTACTGACTCTAACCTGTTTCTCTGAGCAGGACTGCAAACCTGAGCAGACAGGAGGTGCTAAAAAAGTACAGAGGCAAGGACACTGAGGTAAGAGGCTCTCAGGTGAGAGAGGCCTCCGTTTTGCACCTGAGGCCTCAATCTAAACATTTGTAAAATAGGAAAGAAAAAATTTCTTTCACCACGTTTCCCTGCGAAAGCTAAATAAAGCCCGAATCAGGGTTCATGGGAAGTGTGGTAAAGCCCTGGAGGAAAAGATGCTGAAAGTGATCAACTGCCAAATGCAGGCAAACAGCAGCTCCTGAGCACCCCGCAGTAGAGACATTCCAGAAGCCTCGACTGCGCCCTAGGGACAGCCTCTTGCCCCGCCCCGCCCCCGGGCCCCAGCCCCGGCCCCGCCCCCGGGCCCCGGCCCGGCCTCCTCAGTCGACCTCCCGGCTCCCCTTCCCGGTCACACGCCCAGGTGAGGGCGGAAGTGGAAGGGTTTCCACCGCCATCTTGTCCCTTCAGCCCCACAACACAGGTTGCCGCGAACCTCCTGGGCCTGTCCGCGTCGGGGCGACATGCGCCCCTAGTGGACACGTACCCGGGCGGGTTAGCGTACTTCGGGGCGGCTCCCAGCATCCTGGCCGGAAAGGGGCGGGGAGGGGCGGGGCGACCGCCGAATCTCGCGTGGGCGGATGGGCGGTGCACCACGTGATGCCAGCCGAATCCTAGCCACGCCCCCTAGGCGGTCCTGGGCCGTTCCTCATCAATTCCTGCTCATTCCTGGTGCTCAAGCAGGGAGTCAAAGGATGAGTTTGCTCTGGGTCGATGAATGTTTACTTCTCCAGAGCTGTTCTCTTCCTCCGACTCACGGTCCACCTCGGCTTTGACCGCACCGCTCCCCTTTTCGGATTCAGCTTTCTTTCGGCCTGTCTTATCACCACAGGCCACAGATTAAGGACCTAGCGGATCCGCTCAAGAAATGTGTGTGTGATAATCTTTCACAAAAACACCTAGACTTAGCCAAGCGGAGTTTAGTCTCCACCAAAGCCTTGTTTCAAACGTCCTGTGCCAGGCTTGGAAGGATCCAACTACAAAGACCGAACAGGTAAGGTTAAGCTACTTCAAAGACAGCAATAAGCACAAGATGTGTCGATATTTAAATCACAGTTCTGAACTAAATGGGAAAGAGTCTTATGACCATCATGGTACAGTATCAAGGGAGTATTCCCTGCTGCTTCTCCTCCAGATGACTTTGGGATTCTAACTTGGCGCACCCTTCTTACCACAGGTGGGAAACTAATAGGTCATCGAACTCTACCTCAGTCTGAGGAAGGTACGAGCTTTAGAAGCAGGTGCACCCTGTTTTAGAGGCTCCTTCTAGGTCCTCCCTCCTCTTGGTTTCTTAGAAAACCCAACTTCAGTTGTTTGACAAACAGTTCTGAAGGACCTGCCACGGTCTCTCCACTAGCTTGCTTAGAGTAAATAAATGAACAAAATGGATCTCCCCCCCCAAAAAAAAAAAAATCCTGGGAGGGGAAACACAAATACTAAACATCCTAAGTTATATGATAAGCACTCTTGGTAACAAAGTGGGAGCAGGAAGAATGTAGTGCAGCAGAAATGGCAGTCAGGGTCTTGTTTCTCTGGTTAATTATCTTCTCTTTTTCCTATAAGCAGTTAAACAACTTCAATCTCTTTCAACTTAGAATCTCCCAACCAGCAGCCTTCACTGCAACATGTTTTCATTCCCTTTTGTAGTCTGCCCTTTGCACTTTGAAATTTACAAGATATCTCCACTACTTCAATTCCCCTTCAGGTCTGGACTTACTGCACTTTGGTTTCTGCCCATTCTTAAAGTCACTGGGATTTCATTACTGCAAATCCCCACAACCTGCAGTAGTTTGAATTTTTAATGTTCCCCAAAGACCCAAAAATTGAAGGCTTTATCTCTGTGACAGTATTACCAGAAACCAAGACCATGGAATACAGTGTGGCAATCCCAACAAATCAGTCAACAACTCTCCCCAAAACCAAATAGAAACGATAATGGTTTGTTTTTAACAAAATCTCAAACATTAGATTTTACAAATAAAGATTCATGAGCCAGATGCTGAGGTGAAAGCCTGCTAGCTCAGACAGGCAGAGAAAGCACCCAGCTGACTTTCCTCCACAGCTGACATCCCAAAAGGACATCCCTCAACTTGATGTCCCTTCCTTCTACTTCCTGTCCATCTGTCTATCTGCCCTCCTTACTTCCTCTTGCTCTCCATGGTTTTTTCATACGTTCATCCCCTGTAACTGGTTGATTGCTCTACCTCCTGACCTAAGGTTGACTTCATTTAAACCTGATTACAATGAACAGAAAGCTCTTGGGTTAAAGGCGTGTGCTAAAGCTGAGCCACACCACCACTAGAAATAACTTTTTCCAGTAAATAACACAATCTTGGGGTTCACAGTGTGATCAGATATCCAGCAACAATGATTACATCCGTGCCTTATTCAGCCATAATCAGAAAGGCTTCCTCATGAAGCAGATGGGACCAAATATAGATACAACAGCCAAACAATACAGGGGGGGGGCCTTGAAACATATAGCTTTAAACAAGATGTCTCCATCCATCCGTGCACTCAGAGCTCAGGGAAACCCATGGAAGAGGAGGCAGGAGTGGGAAACAGAAAGAAAATGGAGGACACCAAGAGAACAAGACCCTCTGAAACAAGTGAGCAAAGCTGATATGAATCCACAGAGACGGGAGACTCAAGCACGATGCCTACACAGGTCTGCACCAGGTCCTCTGCATGTATACTGTAGTGTTCAGTTTAGTACTTTCATTAGACTCCTGAAAGTATGAAGAAGTGGATTTCTATTCTTGTCCCTTCTCTTGGGAGCACTTTTATTTTCCTGTTGACTTGGGTTGTCCAGCTTCAATATAATGGTTTTTGTTTTCTTACTATATTTTCTTTTGTTATGTCTTGTAATTATCTCTTAGAAGCCTCTTCTCTAATGAGAGACAGACAGAGAATGGATCTGGACAGAACACAGGGTAGGGAGGAATTGGGAGGAGTAGAAGAAGGAAAATGTATTCAGATTATACTGTATGAGAAAAGAATTTATGTTTAATAAGAGGGGGGAGAAAGATTATTTAAGAGCACAGAGAGACATTCAGAGAATAAATCTATCTCAAGAACTCAGGGACGGCATCAGCCCTATCTTCTAAGGCACTGACCCAAGGCCTGATTGATCATTGCTGCAAGATTGCTCAGGTGGTGTCTCAGGGTCACCATTGCTCTGATGAAACTCTTGACCAAAAGCAACTTGGGGAGGAAAGGATTCATTCTGCTTACACTTTCAGGACACAACAGTCCATCACAGTGGGAAGTCAAAGGAGGAACTCAAGCAGGGCAGGAACCTGAGGGCAGGAGCAGGTGCAGAAGCTATAAAGGAACACTGCTTACTGGCTTGCTCCTCATAGCTTGCTCAGCCTGCTTTCTTATAGAACTCAGGACCATCAGCCCAGAGGTGGCACCGCCCACAATAGGCTAGGCCCTTTCTCATCAATCATTAGTTATAGACATGGCCCACAGACTTGCCAGCCTACAGCCCTTGTAAAAGCAGTTTCCCAGTTGTAGAAGCAGTTCCCTCCTCTGAGATGACTCTAGCGTCTGTCAAGCTGACATGAGCTAACCAACACAGCTAGGGGTTTGTCCATAAGAAAGTCATTATCTGAGCACTGGTTTTGATGCTTGTCACAAGGTGCTTATGTATCATACCTACTGTTCTGGAATGTGAGCTGATTTCAGGAGAAAATTACCCACAGCAAAGGACATAGTTGCAAAACAGAAGTGGAGATGCCAAGCTTTTTACTATATTTACACAAGAAGTGCAGCTGCAGCAAGCAGCATCCTCCTGCAGCCTCAGAGAGCCAGGCTGCTTGAAACCTCATTAGATGGTTAGCAGCATGGCAGCATCTTCACTATGTGCGTCAGGTAGAATGCGGGGCGCGCGTATCTGAAACTTATTCCTCCAACAGAGTGGTGGAAAAGCTCCACATGGTGCTTGTGCTGGAGTTGGTACTCGGTGGTTGTTGACAGTCTTGTAAAGAGGTATTCTTTTATCAGGGCTTGGAGTTCCCTGGACTTGGGGTGAGAAAAGAACCATGAGGAGAGAGAGAAGAAGGTGGAGAAAGGAGGAAGCTGCCATGGGGTAGGTGAACTATGAAAACATAACCATGGGGATAGCCAATTAGGAGTTAAGAGCTGCCGAATGGAACGTGGTAAGTTATGACTTGTGTTATAGATGGGGAAGTAGATTCTAATAGCATAGAGGGTAGATCTTTGCCCAGCTTTAGTGCTGATTCAGGTTTATTATAAATATAAAGGTTGTGTTTCTTTTATTCAGGAACTGGATGGCCAAAGGCAGTATAGAAGTCCTGGATTGAGATGAAATATTTCTGCAGTAGCATGGTGGTTCAAAACCATGTGCTATTCCAATTCTGGGGGATTCTGTGCCCTCTTCTCGCCTCCACTGGTACTATGCAACGTGTGGTGCACCCACATTCATGCAGGCAAAACACACTAAAAGTTAATGGATTAATTTTAAGAACTCAAACATTATTGAATTTTCACAGTACCCAGTACCGTCTTGAGTACCACAGGCCTTTTCGACTGTAAGCATAGTCTTTGTTTGAGGTGTACCATTGTTTTCATGATGCTGGACACATCTAAGACCCTGTCTTTTCAATATGGCAGAAACTGGAATGCATTCACAACAAAAGCAGGTTAGCTGAATCACATAAAAGGAAGGCTGACCACTGCTCTGTGCTGTTATGGATAGCCTAGACCTTGTATTTTGATGTTAATTCTCCTTTCCTGTGATGGGCTTCAGAAGAGGAGTGAATCATTACACAGATGAATTCTAGTGAACCTTCTGCCTATCTTAATTTGTAAACTAAAGCCTGGAGCCAGTGATTGGGCAGAAGGGGAGGTGGAGAAATAAAGGTTGGTTGGGAGAAAGGAGAGAGAAGACGACTGGGAAGCAGGAGGTAGGACAAACGCAGGGTCTGGAAAACCCTCAAGTTATAAGGGTCTCATAGCTGGGGAACAGAGTAGTGAAGTGGTGAATCTGCCCAATCTAGGCTTGCAAAATATATTCATCATTATTGAATTGTGTTTTCTCTGGCAGGTCTTTTTTGGGTTGGAGAATTACCACAACACTGTGCTTAACCATTTGATCTCATTACTGATTTGCAAGTACAATTTTATTATTCCCAAAGTCATTTCTGGAAGATCAAGGACATCAGTGAACACTTAAAGCCCATGTGACATGCTCAGTGTAGATAAGATCTCAATCCATGTGATGAGATGAGATGGACAGAAGAGCATTTGACTGAGTGTGCAGGATGGTCAGCATCCAGATGATGCTAAGAGCCATGTGAACACAGGGAAATTTGGGCAATTCCTCACTTCTCTGTTCTTGAAACTACATGACACCACAACTTCCTAAGGACTCCCATTAAGCCTAACGAGTCTGAAGGACTAAATGAATGTCAAGCCCTAAAGAAAATCACTAGCACTGAAAAAGGAGCTTTAGGGTGTTTGCCAAAGGCCAGAAAAATCAGCAAGAGGCCACAGTTAGATTCAGAGACATCGTATGTACAATGCCACAATGATGTTTTACAGTTTGTGCACAACATATACTATCGCCAAAAGGAAAGGGTGTTATTAAGGGACCATCTCTACTTCCTAGTTTGTCTGAGGGCACTGTAATAGTTACCTTAATAGTATGGACCAAGTTATCTGACAGAAAAAAGAAAACAGAAACAAGGATAGATGTTTCACTTTTCCAGCCCTGATTTTGAATGGCCTTCAAAAAAATGGCCATTTCCTTTTGAAGAAGTGATATGAGGAACCAGGTTAGTTCAAATGTGTAGCATTTGTTCACCACTATGTTAGCCCTCTATTGGCAAGATGGTGGAGTGCTAGGAGTGTCACACAAGCCTGACGACCTGAGTTTAATTACCAGAACCCATGGCGAAATTCTCAAATACTGTCTTCTAGTATATTATGTACTTTAAGTATAGATGTCCATCCATAAACCATCAATATACCTGTACTAAACACACACATAAACACACATACACACACACACTCATACATACACACACACACAAACACCACAAAAATAATATTTTATAACAAAGAGGTTATTATACGAGTTATCTGTAGCGGCTGGTGTTCTCATGCTAATTATGTTACCCAAAAACCTGTTTGCAGTATCCTGCAGTTAGGCTAAAGGAAGCCTGTTGCCAGTTGGTTCTGACTGTGAACTAAAGTTGCCAGTGGCTAATGGCTGGGCAGGGAGACAGAGGTGGGACCTTTAGGATCCCCAGGCAAGAAACAGGAGAGCCATGACAAGGAGGTAGGAGACGAGCCTCAACAAGATGATAGAAGATGAACCAGCCAGGAAAATGCAAGAGGGTGAGATGCTGAAATGTAGGTGCAAGGGGAAAGTTGCCCTGGGGGCCTGGAGGGGTGGGACCCAGCAGGGTCCAGGGCAGCAAAGATAAAATATAGATTTAGTAAGTATTAATTCAGAGATATCTGAGGTGAGAGTGTGTTAGCCATGTGGAGGTTCAAGAGTGGCTCAGCCATTGAGCTAGCTTAGGACATGTTAAAAGATAAGCTGGTGTGTGTGTGTGTGTGTGTGTGTGTGTCTTTGATTTCTGAATCCACAGCTCTTGGGCAGGTGCAGAGGAGGCACACACACCTGCCAGGAGCATAGAGCGGACTTTAACAATAAACTGCTACAGTTATTTTGTGTTCAATATTCTTTCCCTAATAATGCAACTACCAAATTACATATTTTTGTCTCATCTGTCGCTATTACTGTGAGCTTCTTTGTTTAAATTTCTGAATTCACCGAGGAATTGTTCTATCACTGAATTTAAAGGCTGAGCTACTGCTCCTGAAGAAATAATAGAAAAAGTCATTTCCTGAGACCATTCTTCTGACAGGATAAGGGTCTTTGGCATGAATATAATTATTATATTGCTGAATATAATATTTCAAATAACCTTCAACATGTGAAATTGACTGTGTATCCTAGCCACAAAGGCCATCCAGTCATGCATCCATTTGCATAAAGGCCGTCCAACCCCAAACATTCATGTGATCTGCCGATGAAAACAAGCTATAAAAATAAATGTAACCTTTTCTAAAATAAATGTAAGTGAAATTGTAGGGCATATGTTTATAAACCTGAAAAGGTCCACTTCCCGGCATTTCCTATTACAGGACACAGGGCCAGTGATAAAAAAGTACATTGAAAGTACATTCACATGTCAGGATCTCAATGTGAAGGAGGAAATACAAGAAGAAATAGGACATACGTTAAGGAATTCATGTCCATCTCATTAAAGGGGTGCCATTGAAGACTATGAGGATCAGCTCAGCCCTGAGCCATGCTAACACAGGGAGAACGAAGCAAAGAAAGTTCCTTCATGATGCACCTGACTCAGCAGACGAGATGAAGAGAGAAGATGCAGGTGCAGCTCAGAGCAAAGCTACTGTCCCGCAGAGCCTGGTACACATTGTGCATTAGACACTTGCAGGGTGTGGTGGTGTGAGTCAGCAGTGGAATGGTTACTTGCCAAGAGCAAGGCCCTAGGAAATCCCACACAAGCGTTTCTTTTGAGTCTAGTCTCTGTTAAGTTGACATAAATCTGGTCAGCATACATGGTGTCAACATATGGACATCTTTCACTGAGGCAGAAAACTGCGAATACCAACTTCAAAACCCGGATCCTGTACTACTCCTCGGAACACTGAGGGCACACTGGTTATGTTAGGCCTCTCCCATAAGTGACAGGGCAGAGAATTCCCTTGCTGGAATGGATACTTTCTGTTTTTTCTTCATCTACAATGATTCTGTAGCATCACCCTCTGTGGACCAAGAGGATGTCATGATCCTATGTGTCATTATCATTATGTCTCATGCAATATTTATTTCCAACAAGAATTGTATTTGAGAGCAAGAGAAACAAGTTTATGCTGTTGGATTGTCTAGTCCTACCACACACAATATTATCTGAGACAAATTACCAGTAGACTGGAGAAATGGTTGATGGGAGCTGTAACTAGAACATCACTAGAAAGGCGAAGCTCCACCAGACCAAGGCTGACCTACAAGATGAAGTAGCTGTCTTGAACTGGTCACCAACAGATGCCACTGTTTCCCATTCACTACAAACAACACTCAGATCCTGGAAGCTAAAATGCCTGATCGCCCGCTAGGGAAACTTCATTCAGGTTGGCCTTGAATTTTAGCAGTCTGGGGGCAGTGTCAAATGGATCTCTGTGAGTTGGGCTAGCCTTGTCACTATAGAGCGAGAGTAGCCACAGCTACGTAGATAGTGAGACCCTGTCTAAAAACAAAACAAAATCTGAATTTCCTCTCTCCACTATCCTTAGACTCCCCTGGTTTATAGTCCTTTGGCCCTGGCTCATTCTAAATTCTTACCTGAAGAAAGGGTCTTGGGTTCAGTTTTTGTGGCCTAGCTCAGCCGCCATGTTCTGTGGCCAGAGACCACGTGCACACTGCAGCTAGAAATGGCCAGCTAGAAACACTAGCCCTGCCACCCACGAAACATCAGCATGGGAGATGGCTCTGCCAATCTTCCACGCTGTCTCCGCAAGGCAGGGCATTGCCCAGACCATCCCACCATCCATGTGGGTCCAGTAAGAGAATGAGACTCTAATTCTTATAGATTAATCAAAGGCTTTATATGTTTGGTAATGATTAATAACAAGATGCCCATACAAAGAGAGTTGTATCCCAGTTAGCTAACCTTATTATAAATTGTTCCCCACGAGTGCTCTCCATACCTGTGTGGTTCTCCATCCTCCTACATCTCTGCCTCTCTAACTCCTCCTCTTCCTTTTCCTCTTCCTCTCCTAACTCCTCCCACCTTACCTCCTCCTACATTAACTGCCTATTATTCAGGAATTGCTCTCTAATATTTTTTCCCCTGTGTTTTTTCCTAACTCAGAAACTACATTTTTCAGGATCCCTTTCCAAATGCCTTCTAGGCAGGCTTGGCCAATTGCGGAATACTCAGAGTATTTCTCTCCCTTCCTCCTTCCCTCCCTCACTCTGTCCCTCCCTTCTTCCCTCCCTGCACAGGAGCAGCATGTCTAGTAGCCCCTCTGTTCTCTCCTTGTCTCCATTTCTCACCAGCAGCTCCTTTCTTCATGGTCCGAGTCTGCAGCACGACACTAGTTTTCTAGCAATGCCAGTT